TCTGTGGAAGTCAAACAGTTTCCTGATGTTATTAAGCCTCAGAGTTGCCGTTCTGCCCACTCAGGAAACAGCTGTCAGAATCCTATTTTCCTCTGCCGCATCGGAAGACCATTTTCCGCTTACAATCAATTATTGTCGTCCGGCCTCAGTTCGCGCTCTGGTTCGTCGTCCTCACATTTCTTGTGTCCCACAATTACCTCTGTAAACATCCGCTGCGATTGCCAGATCTCACGGAGTTGTTAAAACACCGTTTACATTTATTTATGTCACCTTTTCCGTTAAAACTTCAGTTGGGAATTGTTATACAGGCCTACAAACTACATATCAACTTGTATATGCTATACAGGATTTATATAATTCTATATTTTTACATGGGCTATAATAATTATGTAGTCGTATGAAATTAACTGAAAATGTGTTAATTAGGCTATGTTTTATTCTATTACGACGAGAAAGACAGATAGTGCTTAAATTTCCCAGTTTCGTGAATAGTGAATCCGTAGTAATTTAAAACAAATCGGTAGTCTACAATTCTTGATGAAAGGTTGTTTGTCTTCCGTCCTCTCTACTTCACGCAACATTCAATCAGAAACATTTTAATTGAACGCTCAAATCGCTGTCATTTCTTGTTAGTTATAATGAAATCATCATATAGTACTAAGTGACATCTAATAATAAAACAGAACCCAATTATTATGTACATATTTTTAATGTAGGCAAACACTTTTTTCCGTTACGTTTTGTTCAGCTCACAGCAAAGCAAAAGAGTAGTAAAGATATCCAACAACAATTGTTAGTGTTATATTTCCTGGGTTTTTTACCCAGGTTTCAATAAAATATTGAATATTGTGTTTTTAAATATTGCTTGTTATTCTGAGAGAGATGGAATTGGTAGAATCAAATGACATTTTGCACTTGAGTTGAGATGGAATCAGTTTACATTCTCGTCTCCGTGCCTCACGCCGCCGCGGGGAGCGCTGTGATCGCGTCATCCAGCCGAAAAATTAATCGTAATATCCCTGGGCGATGTCAAGATAGAATTAATACCGCGTTATATGACTCAAATGAGTATCACAAGTAGCTCTGCTACGATATGACTTTACGATAACAAATGTTTTACTATGACACAGTGATGTTTGCAATACTATTGTAGTGTAGTGGGATTTTCTTTTGATTTATAGTTTTGACAGGTATCGTGTGATTTATAGCAATATTATGTTTTCAGCACAGGCTTACGTGCACGATTAGGCTACAATGATTTATAAGTTTAACTTATTTACCTCAACATACTTTTTTGTTGCCTATATCTACAAACCGTGCTGACGTTGAGCTCAGTTTTAAACTGTAATGCACTGAAGAATCTGTAATTTCTTTTAGTCTAATTTATAGAGTTTAATAAGGTTCTGAATTAACATGTGTATTCGCGAAATAATTACGTATATGTAAAATCTTTATTTACAATAGGGAAGTCATGCTGTATTGTCATTATTTGTTTACTCTGAGAGACAATATACAAATGTAGGCTATATTTCCCAGATCAGGAAGGTCCCAGCAGGTCTCTCTCATATGATATTGTAAAGTCAGAGGATACGTTGGTGACAGGGCGTACGGGGAGAAATGTCTGCCATATCGACAACACATGATCACATATTTTTCGGCCTGGCTTTTCTCCAATTACAGATCTGATTTCTTGTATCGCATTGCATTGTCTTTGGCTCCGTTTTCTCTCTTTCCAGAATATTTTTTCAAAATCCAAACCCGTTTGTCCAGGTAAATGACCGACAATTTTGTTTTGTATAATTTGCCTGATACAAGATTTGCTTTAGTTGAATATAAATTTTTCGTGACATTCAATACAATAATTATTCAATAATTACTAATTGATTTTACATAATATTATTTATTTCATGTTAATGAGTTTACTGAACCATTCCATGTTGAACGTTGTCAGTCAGTCGATCAGCTAGACTCAGTGGTAAGGTGCTTGGTACTTGCCTGGCTTCTGGCTAGAATGGGGCGGTTTATTGTACAATCTTCAGTTTCATCAGGGTTGCCACCGGCCATGCATGAATTCCTTGACCATGAAAAAATTTATGAACTATGCTTGAATTTCTCTATCGCACCATGAATTTTCAAAATCATAAATAATAACTTAACCAATATACCACTGAATTTGCCATATACAAATATTTTATATATTTTAAAACAGTACGAACATAACAAACACGAAGATAATAGGCCTACTGTCTGGAGATGAAGTTCCACGATCAGAAACAATTGCTTAGTTCATTTTAAGTCTTTGGAGGTGAGATGCTGATGTCATCTGAGTCTTTCTGAGGACTGAATGTGGTTCAAAAAATCAATTTTAAAAAATCATATTTTAGTACATTAATAATACCAACCAGAATAATACAGGATTTTTCATGTGGAAGGATAGAATAGGATTTCCTAGGCCGGGTGAGCGGAGTCTTTGTTTTATTCATTGGAAAGACTGAATTAGACTTAATATATATTTTTTAATTCTTCTCCAATATTTGAAACTGCTCGACCTGTTATTTATTTTTTATTTTATTTTTATTGTATATAGCTTATATCTATAAATCACTCTAAAATAGTACCGTAGTATTTTATGTATGAAAAGTTGTTTGATAATAACAAACAAAGAAACTGCCTCTTAAATGTACATTTCTGATATCAGCAAAACTTATATTTGTGTTGTGATTATAGGAGCGCACGACCATTTTTTTAACTACCAATAAAAACCATGAATTCTGTATGAATTTTTCTCATCTCTCTACGGTGGCAACCCTGTTTATATTCTGTCACAGTTGTGCTCCTAAAACTAAATCATTAGCCAAATCAACTGACGAATGGAATTGAGTTGTTTTAACTGGTAACTTTAATTTAATAAAAAAATCTGCTAACTTGATTTTTTAAATATTGCCTATGCTATTGTGCTCTAGTTTACTCTTATGGTTTGATTGATAACTGTGACTGTGATTATTGAATCCTCTACAACTCATGTCCTGTGTGTCCCCAGGTTATCCCCAGCCTCAGTACAGGTGGCTCAAGGATGGTGTGGAGTTGGGAGACTTCAGCACAGAACACTTCTACAGGATACACAACACCAGTGACTGTGATTATTGAATCCCCTACAACTCATGTCCTGTGTGTCCCCAGGTTATCCCCAGCCTCAGTATAGGTGGCTCAAGGATGGTGTGGAGTTGTTAGACTTCAGCACAGAACACTTCTACAGGATACACAACACCAGTGACTGTGATTATTGAATCCCCTACAACTCATGTCCTGTGTGTCCCCAGGTTATCCCCAGCCTCAGTACAGGTGGCTCAAGGATGGTGTGGAGTTGGGAGACTTCAGCACAGAACACTTCTACAGGATACACAACACCAGTGACTGTGATTATTGAATCCCCTACAACTCATGGCCTGTGTGTCCCCAGGTTATCCCCAGCCTCAGTATAGGTGGTTCAAGGATGCTGTGGAGTTGGGAGACTTCAGCACAGAACACTTCTACAGGATACACAACACCAGTGACTGTGATTATTGAATCCCCTACAACTCATGTCCTGTATGTCCCCAGGTTATCCCCAGCCTCAGTACAGGTGGCTCAAGGATGGTGTGGAGTTGGGAGACTTCAGCACAGAACACTTCTACAGGATACACAACACCAGTGACTGTGATTATTGAATCCCCTACAACTCATGTCCTGTGTGTCCCCAGGTTATCCCCAGCCTCAGTACAGGTGGCTCAAGGATGGTGTGGAGTTGGGAGACTTCAGCACAGAACACTTATACAGGATACACAACACCAGTGACTGTGATTATTGAATCCCCTACAACTCATGTCCTGTATGTCCCCAGGTTATCCCCAGCCTAAGTACAGGTGGCTCAAGGGTGATGTGGAGTTGGGAGACTTCAGCACAGAACACTTCTACAGGATACACAACACCAGTGACTGTGATTATTGAATCCCCTACAACTCATGTCCTGTGTGTCCCCAGGTTATTCTCTGCCTCAGTACAGGTGGCTCAAGGATGGTGTGGAGTTGGGAGACTTCAGCATAGAACACTTCTACAGGATACACAACACCAGTGACTGTGATTATTGAATCCCCTACAACTCATGTCCTGTATGTCCCCAGGTTATCCCCAGCCTAAGTACAGGTGGCTCAAGGGTGATGTGGAGTTGGGAGACTTCAGCACAGAACACTTCTACAGGATACACAACACCAGTGACTGTGATTATTGAATCCCCTACAACTCATGTCCTGTATGTCCCCAGGTTATCCCCAGCCTCAGTACAGGTGGCTCAAGGGTGATGTGGAGTTGGGAGACTTCAGCACAGAACACTTCTACAGGATACACAACACCAGTGACTGTGATTATTGAATCCCCTACAACTCATGTCCTGTATGTCCCCAGGTTATCCCCAGCCTAAGTACAGGTGGCTCAAGGGTGATGTGGAGTTGGGAGACTTCAGCACAGAACACTTCTACAGGATACACAACACCAGTGACTGTGATTATTGAATCCCCTACAACTCATGTCCTGTGTGTCCCCAGGTTATCCCCAGCCTCAGTACAGGTGGCTCAAGGATGGTGTGGAGTTGGGAGACTTCAGCACAGAACACTTCTACAGGATACACAACACCAGTGACTGTGATTATTGAATCCCCTACAACTCATGTCCTGTGTGTCCCCAGGTTATCCCCAGCCTCAGTACAGGTGGCTCAAGGATGGTGTTGAGTTGGGAGACTTCAGCACAGAACACTTCTACAGGATACACAACACCAGTGACTGTGATTATTGAATCCCCTACAACTCATGTCCTGTATGTCCCCAGGTTATCCCCAGCCTCAGTACAGGTGGCTCAAGGATGGTGTGGAGTTGGGAGACTTCAGCACAGAACACTTCTACAGGATACACAACACCAGTGACTGTGATTATTGAATCCCCTACAACTCATGTCCTGTGTGTCCCCAGGTTATCCCCAGCCTCAGTATAGGTGGCTCAAGGATGGTGTGGAGTTGGGAGACTTCAGCACAGAACACTTCTACAGGATACACAACACCAGGAGAGAAGACGGAGGCAGATACCAGTGTGTGGCCAAGAATGACGTCGGCTCAATACTCAGCAAACCGATTGACGTCACTGTCGCATGTAAGTACCATCTGTAGTCTGCTTAGTGGTTCACATATGTGTTTACTAGTATAGGTTGGCCGGTCACTAAGTACAACAATTAAGGAACAGGTAATATAGGTCAAAGTCAAAAGAAACTCAAAAATAACTTTTTTTTAAAAAATGTCTTGTTATCGAGATAAGTATTCCTCAAATACTAAATTGGCCGCCATATCAAAATGATTATTTTTATGCAACAAGTTTATTGCATACCTTCAATTCCATACCAAGTTCCTTAATATACCTTCATTCGTTTTAGAAAAATAAATATTTAGTTTAATAAAATTACAGGTACCTTGGTAACTTAATGTTTTGTAAATGAATGTAATTCCTGTTTAACTTTTTACGTATTCCTGAAGTTTATGTGCGCACTGAGACAGACAAGTTTAGTTCATCCACAACACTACTTAGACACAGATTATTTAATAATTAATTGTTTGACACAGAATATGCAATTGTTTTTTATGTTTAATACTTGTAAACAGTAGTTAAGATGAAAAATTATTTCGTAAAGGCCTGTAGTTTTTTTAAATTCTATATTATTGACAGGAAATTTCATGACTGACAAGTTAACATCCTATTTTGATTGAATCATGTCTAATGATATATTTACTCTTAAAATGCATTCAGATTATACTAAAGGTGGTGTGTCAATCAGTTTCGGACACAACATAGCATACATCATCAGACAGAGTCTGTTAATAGATCAAAACTGATGATTGCAGTGTCCAATAAAAATCAATCATCACCAGACAGAGTCTATTAATAGATGAAATCTTATGTTTTTAGTGTCAAATTAAAATCAATCATCATCATCAGACAGAGTTTGTTAAAAGATGAAATCTTATGATTGCAGCGTCCAATGAAAATCAATCATCATTTGCCATCTGTGTACTCGAACTGCTGTCTTTCATATTGAGTTCAGTAAGAGTGTAATATTGAGACAGTAAAATTCATTCAATTAAATACATTTAATGTATTTTAAATTCATATCCTCATTAATTTGAATATTAAGGCATGCAAATTAAAAAAATGTATAACGTTAAACCCAACAAACACATTACATTATGCTATTGTATATTAACAATAACTTGTTCTGGGTTATTGACAGTTTTTTTTCAGTCTCGGCATGCAATATAAGTTTAACTAATAGTAATGAGAATCCAGTAATTGATATAAACACAGTTAATTACTTCTCATCCAAACACTGTCATTATTTAGTAATTTAATATCATTGTATTCATATTGAAATTTGTTCACCGTATATTGCGGCTATATATGCATATTTTTACATCTCTACACACGTAATAGGATGGTTTTAAACAGTTTAATGTGACTTTTGAAATGGATATTGTTAAAGGGGAAATAATTGTAACAAAGCTTGTGGAAATGAGAATAAAGCCATTATTCAAAATGACATTGTGGCTTCATTTATTCGGTTGATTAATGAGAGCTCGATTAAAAATAACATTGTTGACCAATATCCAGCCTGTTATTATTGTTTTTTTTTCTAATAATATGAAACCTTGAAAAGCTAAAGCCGCTTGGAAAGGAATAATGTTTTTAAAAAGCACAGTTTTCTTGACTTAAAATTCTAAAATGTAATTTTAGGTATTATTATTAGGACGAAAGGTAATAAGACTCAAGGTAATTTTAAAAAGCCTAAACGATTCTGTTTGATTTGACATTTTGATCATTTCAATTTATGACATTTTAAAATTGACTCTGTGAAAAAATCATAAATAGTACAATAGTTTATTACACAATATGTAGCAATTTAAAAGTCATACCTATATAAATACCGAGTGGCTCCTAACAAACTTTGACCTGAACAGGTTCTACTTACAACATATATTATTATTTATGAAGATAGGAACAGAAGTTTCCAAATCTCCGAGGCCTTGGTGTGATGGCCAAAGACAGATCAGACAGTGGCAAGTAGACAACTGCTACAGCTGGAAAGAGTTGCATGTTTTGGGGTTTGTGGGACCATGAAATGTTGCTCCTTACCAATTCTTTAAGCAATCCTCGTTATGCTTCCACTGGGCCAGGAAGTTAGTTAGGAAATGTGCTACCATGACAGCCCTTAACATGGGAAGCAGAGGCAATCCAAAGCCTTAGGTAGGGTCTGTACTAAGTGATTACCCGAGCATGGATACAGAACTAACAGTCCCAGATCTTAAGACCAAAGAATATAACTTAGGGGTTCCCTATCATGTTGCTTTAGATTACAGGAGTGGCTGACAAAAAGAGGAGCTCAAGATGGGCAGGTTATGCCAAAGACAGAGAAGTTGAAAGCAAACTATTCATAACAATTATTTATAATTGTAAAATTAGCCCTTGGAAGCCCAGCAATGGTTTTTCAGTCAGAGGTCTGAAGAAAAGAAAAATACTGATCCTCTAAAATAGCCAAGCCCCTACCAAGCAGCTGGAGTCATGTGTAACAAAGACACACACAGTAAAGGGATGCAAAGACACTCAATGCTCTTTAGCAATACTAAACAAAGTAAAGATTGCTTGGATTCTGGGGCAGCCAGTAAGATCTACTTACAGGACCAGAACCCTACTGCGGTGCCTTCATTTGCATTGGAGAATCCAAAGTATGGATCTCGGAAAAGGTCAGGAATGTTCTGGCTGGAGGACCAATCCGGGTCTAAGGATCTAAAAAACTAGAAAGGAATGGAAAAATGATAGACCCCTCAGAAAGGAACAGAAAGGCATACTGAGCCTTAAGAAGGGGCATATTATACTGCTAGTATGGGCTGCTAATTGAGCATCACCCAATAAGGAAAAACCTATGAATTATTGAGTAACACAGACAGACCAATGTAGATTCTGAGAAAATTAGTCAAAATCCTCCAAAGACTAGTGTCTGAAATGTCCGGCCCTGGCTCAAAAAAAGTTAATCTCTTTAGGAAGACGGCCTGAAATGAGATCAAAAGGTAAAAAGTAGTTAGGGATAGAATTATATTATTTAGTTCTAATTTAATTAGTATCTAATAATTTAGTTTAACCAAATTAGTTATACCATAAACCCATAGAATAAATATGGTATAGACCGACAGCAGTGCTGCGGTTAGCATATGTTCCGGTGTCCACCCTAGGAGTGCAGTGTAGTTACAGCGCATACCACTGCAGGGTCTGCTGGTAGCATACGGCTCCTCGCACAACTAGTGGCACATCTCGAAACCTTACTTTGACAGTCTATATTTATTCTATTTGTCTACATGGTTAAACCAAAAACTTTTAATATGGATAAACCCATATCTATTTTAGTCTTGGCAGAGGCACTTAATTCGATAGGCAATCAGTCAGTGGTAGAGAGGATCCTACTATTCGATATCCTTTGATTTATCTTGTGCTTGAGAAACACAGTTGCGCTGTCTCCAGTTTGATTGTTATGTGTGTCTACAGATATGGGAGTGTTTGAAGACCAGAGTGAGCGCACTGTCTCTGTGTCATGGGGAGAAGCTGCAGTGCTGGAGCTGCCTCAGATCACCAGCCACCCTCAGCCCCTGGTTATCTGGCAAGCAGACGACGGGTCTCAGCTGTACGGCCGAAAATATGCAGTCACTCATCAACATCAGCTGGTCGTCCTGTCAGTCACTGACAATGATCAGAAGGCATACAGGTAAACAACTGAAAAATAATAATAAAACAATTTATGAAGTTAGGGTAACTATAGTTTATATATTTGAAAGAAAATATATATCATATACCATTTGTATGAAAAAATGTAATTATTCTTGTGATATTGACTTAAAAAACATTAATATACTAGTTTTCTAAAACTGGTAATTACGTTTTTATGTCTTTTAGATGTAGTGGGACAAATAAACTTTTGTTTTGGATATTTTTTACTAATGGTGCTTAAAACTACTACTTAATACAAATATATACACATTTTGGATGTACAATAACGTCTTCAGCTACAAACAATACATCATTTGAATGAGTTTATCAGGTCTTTTGTTAAAATAGTGAATAAAGATAAGCATTCGACCTAATGTTATGTATTAAGGTACCAGCATAAAGTAAACAGAATGCCAAGAGTGAGATATGAGATTAAGTTATTCAATCTAATTTAAAAGTATAACCCAATTTACCCGTCTTTTATGGAAGGTAGTTGTTTTGTTTTGCATTCCATTTATCACAGTAAGGAGTATTTCCATTTAAACAAACTTGTTTACTGTACTTTTTCTTACTAATTATTCAAGCACTTTGCAAACATTTTCATTCTAAACAGAATAAAGCTAGCATTGATTTATTTTAAGAAAAGGTCTCAACTTTTAACAATAATTTTGACTTCCATTGGTTGCAGTTTTTCTGTTGACAAAAGTTGTAATTAGAAAGATATGAATTGAAATCTATTCTGTTTTCTATCTATCCTGATTGCTTTTTTACCTAATATCCAGACTGTTCCTACTCTAGTAATTTTTACGGTTTGCATATAATTCAGCTTCGATGTTCAATAAGATGTACAGACAACAATATAAATATATACTTCAGAGGTAAATTCATACTGTGGGTGTTGAAAGATTTATAACTTTGTAGTTTTGCTCCAATTTGAGATGAAACAGACTACTGTCTAGTGTTTATCCATTAAAATGATTTGCTTTAGTTATACTAGTGAATTATTTCATCAAAATTATTATGATTTTTTTAAAATCTTTTACAAATTTGTTTTGTTTTGTTTCTAGTTGTTGTCTATGACCTGCTTAGCTGAGATGCGTCATTTTTCTATACCTCACCTGTGTTGTGGTTTAGCTAGTATTGACACACCAGTTATGTTTCAGAGCTCGCGCCACCAACACTCAGCTAGGCAAGGAGGAGAACAGTGCCTATGTCCGACTGGTGGTCCGGGGTGGAGACCCGGGAGGGGAGATTGCTCCAGAGATCATTGTCAGCCCTCGGGACTCCCACATCCTCAAGGACACCCTAGCCACAGAACTGCAATGTATAGTTAATGCGAGGTGAGTATAGTCATCTACAGTTCTTGTCATTAATTTTAATTTTTTCTTGAATAAATAACTAGTCTTAATTTGTTTTAATGAACAACTTTCCAAAGAATTTGAAAATTAAAATTATTCCTTAAAGATTATCCTCCCTTTGTTACAGAATGACTCATTTGTTTTTGGCCACCAATTAATAATGCTAATTTATAATAAATTTTCATTGTAACAGGGCCATTCCCTTACTAATAGCCATAGTCATACATAGGCTATGTACAATCATATAGCAAAGAGTATATGAACAATTGGTTTTCCTAGAAATTGGATGTCAAAGCTATATTTTGATGCACATATTTTAGATTATATTTAGTTTTCTCCTGATATAATAATCTGTAATGTGTAAAGGTAAAAACATTTGAGTGTTTAATCATTCCATCCGATGGGTCATCAATAATTAAGTACTACTTAAAAATATATTAATTTTACACTAACTTCATGATTTAGATATTTTTTAAAATCCCATTATAGTATGTCAGATTTAACTTGACCATTGTTTCCCTGCCAGGCCCCTGCATGAGCTGGAGACTCTATGGCTGAAGGATGGTATCCCGGTGGAGAACACTGGTATAAATCACAACCTGAACGACCCGTGGAACCGCACACTGAGTTTAGTGTCTGCCAACCTCACACACACAGGCAGATACACCTGTCAAGCGAGGCTACGTAGCGGAGGCTTCCCTGCAGTTGAGGCTACGGCTCAGGTCACTGTGCTGGGTGAGTCAGGCTAACCATGGTAACAGAAACAATCCCCTCCAACTCTCTTGATCTCTTGCTTATATAGCTCAGCTGCTCCTATTCTCTCCAGATCGAGAAACACTTGGCCCCACCATTACTGCCCTGACCTTCCCCTTGGTTAATTGTCCTCCTTCAGAATTTCTTTATTGTTTAAGACTTGTGTAATTCCTGTTTCCCTGAAATTGCACAGCTCCTCTAAATCTACGATTATGGATGTTATGTTTCCTAATCATACATTCATAGATGAACATATTGTAACCTGATGTCTAATGTAGTTTGTGTATATTGTGTGGGGTTTGTTGTACAGAGGCTCCATCGTTTGTATCCAACCTGAGGCCTGAGACACTGGGAGAGTACGGCAACACTGTGAAGCTACCTTGTGAGGCCAATGGGGAGCCAGCACCTTCTATACAGTGGCTACACAACGCCATAGACGTCATGAGCTCCACCCACAGAGACAGGTAATGAGACCAAGGCAGTGGTCCAGTTCTATTCGTTGAATTCATAACAATTCAATTGTTGGCTTTATGTTTATTCACCACCATTTAAACATTACCATTGACTTGAGCTGGCCCTCTCCCTTCACTAAAATTAAAGGGAATTGGTTTTGTTCCAATTACAATTTGCAATGTAATTCAATGGCATTTTACCCACATAGACTTGCTGCAGCCATTTTTTTTCTTTCTTTTAGAACATAAGTAGTTGGATGAGCTACAGATTAAAATTCCATTTCTTCCCATTGTTTTTTGTCACTATGATTTGGAAGTTTATGTATCATAAAACATGCTGTTGGATATAGTATTCAAACATTTGATTTAAATAATCTATGGTTTATATTTTGTATTGTCTTTTCCAGCTGCTATGAAAACATGAACTTTAATAATTTTAACACATATGATTTTTGAGATGAATTGTTATGTTGTGATTACAGAAATATTGTTTGGTAGCATTTTACTATGATTGAGTAACTTTTCTTTTGTGAATAATTAAATTATTTTCTGCTCATTATCGAGTCTATTTCTCTTTCCATTTTTGACTTTTAACATTTGGCGACCGTGACAGGACAGTATGAGTTCTTAAACAGATAGTCAACTATTGAGATAATGGAAAGAAATAGGAAACTAAGAAAAACCTTCAGAACAGCATTTACCAGAATTTATAATGGAATAAATGAGGAGCTATGCAAAGATGAGCAAGACCTACACAATATGCAGGGTAAATTGAGCTCTCTAGAAGGTAAGATAAAAGAACTAAAAACTTTGGACAGGGAAATTTTAGATTTCTTGCTTGATTCTGAAGCAGATGAAGAGTTAAATGAAGAAGTTAGGCTAGCAGATGAATATGTAGAGAAGTTTAATCGAATTAGTTTAGCTGTACAGAGTAGATTGATTAGGGCTAGGTCTACTTCACCTGAGTCCAATGGGTCTGTAATGAGTAAATCTACTGCTGTTAGGACTAAGCTGAGGCTACCTACTATTGAATTCACAAAGTTTAGCGGGAATTTGAAGGATTGGCTACCTTTTTGGGCACAATTCAAAAGAATAGATGATGACGAGAATATTGACGATATTGATAAATATCATTATCTTGTGCAGGCTACTTTAGCTAATTCTAGGGCTCGTCAGCTGGTCGAAAGCTATCCTGCTACCGCTGAGAACTATTCAAAAGCTTTGCAAAGTCTTAAGAGTCGATTTGGTAGAGATGACCTTCTCATAGAAGTGTATATTAGAGAGCTTTTGAAGTTAGTGCTGAGTAATTTAAACAGTAAGGTAGAAGTTTCTTGCATTTACGATAAACTGGAAACCCAACTAAGAGCATTGGATACATTAGGAGTAACAACTGACAAATGTTCTGCTATGTTATATCCTCTTATAGAGTCTTGTTTGCCTGAAGAATTGTTGAGAGCTTGGCAGCGTCACTCCGGCTATGAAGTTGATACTGAACTTAAGGATAGACTTGATGGTTTGATGAAGTTTCTGCAAAAGGAGGTTGCTAACGAGGAAAGGATTACTCTAGCCGCATCTGGTTTTGAAAATAGGAAGCGACCTAACCTACAGCCTAAAGTAAGTAAATCTACTGTATTTCGACCTAAGCTTAGTTACGCCAGACATACTGAAATGATGCCGACAGCTGCTGGTTTAGTTAACCCAACGAAGTCTGATAAGTTAAATACTAAAGAAATTAAATGTATGTTTTGTGTTTCTAACCACTTAGCTGAAAACTGTAAAGACAGTAAATTGACAGTAGATGAGAAGGTGAAAATCGTTGGAAAAAATGGTTGTTGTTTTACTTGCTTGAAGTATGGTCATAGGAGTGCGCAATGTAAAGTTAGAGTAAAATGTCCCATCTGTGGAAAGAGGCACACCGCTGTTATGTGTAGGGCATCTGCTGCAGAAGGAAGTTCATTGAGTGAACAACCAGGCAAAGAAAGTTCTCTAGCAAACAATGTTCACACAGAAGTGTTTTTACAAACCTTTTTAGTAAAAATTAGAAACCAAAATCGAGAGCGAACAGCACGTGCTTTAATAGATACGGAATCACAACGATCTTATATTTTGAAAACTACAGCAAAGGAATTTGGCTACGACATAGTCAGAAAGGAGAAGCTAGCTCATGCTTTATTTGGTGGTACTAGTACTGAAAAAATTGAACATGAGTGTTATAAGGTTAGACTAAGTGACTTAAATAACAGTTATGCCTGCAATTTTGACGTTCTTGATCAAGATGTAATTTGTAACGAGGTTACAGCAGTTAAGCCTGGTCCTTGGTCCATTGAACTTGGAACACTGAGAATTAATGTAACAGATGGAGACGGGCCTATTGAAGTTCTGATAGGTGCAGACGTTGCAGGGAAACTTTACACTGAGAAACGATATCTGCTTTCCAACGGGTTAGTTGCAATGCACACTTTGTTGGGCTGGACTTTAATGGGAAGAACCACAGTTGAAGGGAATGTCAGGTCCAGTTCTATGGCAGTAACTTCTTTACTGTCCCCTATTGATAATAAATCCATTTCAGATTTGTGGAGTTTGGATGTTTTAGGAATCAAGGATCCAGTGGAGGTCAAGAGTGAATCTTCAGTTAAAAGTAGAACAATGGAACGTTTTGTAGAATCTGTTTCAGTGGAAAATGATGGCAGATATCAGGTCAAATTGCCATGGGTTGATGATCACCCGCCGTTACCTACTAATTTGAAAGTAGCACAGAAGAGACTCAGTAATCTTACAAATAAACTTAATTCTAGTGGATATCTTAGTTCATATAAACAGGTGTTGTCTGACTGGGAGGAATTAGGTATCATAGAGAAGGTTAACGATGCTGATTTGGAAATTGGTCACTACCTACCGCATCGACATGTGATAAAAGAAAACAGTCTTACCACGAAATTGAGACCTGTATTTGATGCATCCGCCAAAGAAAAGAATCAGCCCTCGTTGAACGATTGTCTAGAAAAAGGTGACAACCTAATTGAATTGATTCCGTCCATATTAAATCGTTTTAGACTACACAGATATGGAGTTGTTGCCGACATCGAGAAGGCTTTTCTTCAGATTGGTGTACATATGGATGATAGAGATTTTCTTCGTTTTTTGTGGATTAATGAAGATGGTCAATTGGTTGTTTACAGACACGCTAGAGTGGTCTTTGGAGTTACCTGTAGCCCATTTATGCTAAGTGCAGTAATAAAACTTCATTTAGAAAAAACTTTAGACTTGATAGATTCTGGATCGTTAAACTACTCAAGAAAAAAAGTAGAGACACTGTCGAGAAGTTTCTATGTAGATAACTGTATGGCAAGTTTTGATGACTTTTCAGATTTGAATCAATTTGTAGATCAAGCGACTTCTGTAATGAAAGATGCTAGATTCTGTCTTCGGAGTTGGGAGTACACAGAAATTCAGAGTTTCAAAAATGATTCTACCTTGACACCTATCTTAGGTTTAAATTGGAACAAAAATACTGACATGATTGAGTTGAATTATGAAAACTTTGAGTTTAAAGAGCCTGAAATAGTCACAAAGAGATCTATTTTGTCTTTTGCTCACAAGTTGTTTGACCCCATAGGTATAACTTGTCCTGCTACACTCATGTCTAAGATATTGCTGCAGAAAACGTGGGAAAGTAAAATTGGATGGGATGAAAAGGTTTCAGAAGAGATAAAACTTTTGTTTTTAGATTGGGCAAAGCAACTTGAGGTTTTTTCCAATTTGAAAATTCCAAGATATTTTGGAAATGAAATCGGAGAGAATATTTCTTGGACAGTTCACTGTTTTTGTGATGCAAGCCAGGACGCTTATGCGGCCGCGGTTTTCCTGAGGGGTGAATCTAATGGACATACCACAGTTCAATTAGTTCAAGCGAAGAGTAGAGTTGCACCTGTCAAGAAGATGACCATTCCTCGGCTGGAGTTACTGGCGGCTACCATTGGCGCTCGTCTAACTGACAACGTCTTAAAGAGTATGGGATTTGAAAATGTCAAAACATTTTATTGGACCGATTCAACCACCGTTTTGTCATGGATTCGTCGAGAAGATTACTGGGGAGTGTTTGTTTGGAACCGAGTAAAGGAAATAAGATCCCTTAGTAGCATCGAATCATGGAATCATGTTCCAGGTCATATGAATCCAGCTGATTTGCCATCACGTGGATGTTCTCCTAAGCAGCTAGTGGAGTCGAAATGGTGGGAGGGACCACAATGGCTAAGAAACTCATCAAACTTGTGGCCTAACCAAAACTTCAGTGATGATTGTGATGAGAAAGAAGTAAATTCTGAACTTAGAAAGATTAAATCAACTACAAAGATTATGATGAATTCAAAACCTGAACCAGATTGTTGGTATTACAGATATTTCTCCAGATTTGATAAAATCGTCAGATTGGTAGGCTGGATTTTGAGATTTTGTTCTAACACAAATATGTCTAAACAAAAGATATCAGGAGGATTGTCGGTTGATGAATTGATTAAGGCTCAAAATAAAGTGTTTAAACTTATTCAGAAAGACGCTTTCCATAGTATCAAGGATGAAAAATTGAGTTCATTGTGTCCGTTTGAAGACAGTGATGGCTTATTCAGGTTAAAAACGAAAATCACAGAGATACCTGATAGTAGGAATTTTAATCTTCCCATAGTATTGCCGAGTAACCATCCTGTTGTTCACAGATACATACAATACAAACATGAAGAAAATTCACATGTTGGAGTCCAAGGATTGTTATCTATTCTCAGAGAAGAAGTTTGGATTATTAGTGGAAGAAGAACTGAAGACAAACAAGTGGCTGAAGATGTTGAACGTGAACATGATCAACCTTTTTATACACAAAGAGGAAGAAAAATTAGACCACCACGAAGATACCTGAAGCGATAATTAGTATTTTGACTTAACAAGTCAAAAGGTGGGAGAATGTTGGATATAGTATTCAAACATTTGATTTAAATAATCTATGGTTTATATTTTGTATTGTCTTTTCCAGCTGCTATGAAAACATGAACTTTAATAATTTTAACACATATGATTTTTGAGATGAATTGTTATGTTGTGATTACAGAAATATTGTTTGGTAGCATTTTACTATGATTGAGTAACTTTTCTTTTGTGAATAATTAAATTATTTTCTGCTCATTATCGAGTCTATTTCTCTTTCCATTTTTGACTTTTAACACATGCTATAGAAGTTGTTTTTGCCAACCTGGTTGATAAATCTGCATATTCAACAGATAATTAAGTAATTTAGTAGTTTACATTTTAGCACTCTCTGTCAGTGGCTTGACTCAGTTATGTTTATTTTTTTCTAAAACTAGTTTTAACTTTAACCAGAATAGAAAGTTTTGTTATATATATTGTCAAGTAAATAATTGAATTCCCAGTTGACCTAGCTAACCTAACTTGCTGTGAGTTTAAAGGATTGAAGTAAAAGATTATGTAGCCAATTATTAGTAAAGAACCCAGTACTAGTTACCCAATAACAAGTAGAAGCTTTCCTGGTGAGAAATAGCTAGTTACCATCTATAAGGTACAAAGCCAATATACGGGTGTATTGTGTAGATATATGGTGGAAGAAGACAAGTCCCTGGTGATAAAGAAGCTGAGGATGGAAGACACAGGGATGTACCAGTGTGTGGCGACCAACGAGGCTGGCAGCGACTTTGTCACTACCTGGCTCAAAGTGAAAAGTAAGTCTATCAGGAGGCTTATGTTTTTCAATGTATTCACTGTTATAAGTCATGTAATTATTGTATTACTTTCAATGAAAATTAAGCTATTTATTTATACATGATAAAAATGTGTTGATTTGAGCCTATATTAAAGTCAGATAGACCTACTTATCAAAATAAATTTTTCCACTTAAAGAAACCTCATCAAACATTGAACAAAGGATGTAAACTGCCACTTACAACCTTTATTTGTACCTTAGTACTTCACACACAAAAACAGTTGTTGTAAATAACATAAAACAAAATTTTATAACTACAACATGTTTTTTGTGCGTAAATAATTTGCCAGCAAACAATCGACATAACAACACTTGTCTGCTCAAGATAACATATATTAATTTACCTCTAACACAAAAAATTACTCTTACTCTTACCCAAAAATGATTCTATTTTTCTTACTATTTAGACAATCGATCATATGAAGAGTACAGCACATAATGAGTACATGTCTTCATACATCTCTTTACAAAGTGTATCTAGACTATATAAAAGTTACACTATACTTAATGTGTTTGAGTATTTTTATAATTTATTTTATTACATAAAACTGCTGTATCATAACATGCTTTTTCTTTTGAATTTTAATTTTAAATCTTCCTAGACGTCTGTTAAACAACATAAATTGCATAAAATGAAACATTATCAGTGACATTTTCCTTTGAGTGAACAAGCTTTAATGTACAGTTTTGTGCTTCTGCTTATTAACATGCTTTGATATTTATTCTAAATTATTATACATTATTCAACTATTTCCATGTATATTTCTTGTGTCAGAGATGTATAATAACACACTTTAGTCTAAGTCTTGCACTGTACGCTTCTGAAGCGAACGTGTGGAGTGAGTAGTTTTGGAACATTTTATTCCCACAGAAGTGTGGCGCCGTGCTCGTTGGATTGACCGAGCAGTTTCTCGACTACGACAGTCAGATTTACGTCGAGCTCCTCGTCGTAAGCTGCTAAACATTGTTGTTGCTCACGTTGCTTTGCATGAACCTCCAACAATAGCCTAGCCCCATCCCTTCCACTTTTGAGTGTTGAGTGTTTGCACTGGATTTTTTATTTTCATTCTGATTGTCTTTTGTTTTTTTAGCATAGTTAATTTTTTTCAATTTATTTTATTTCATGAAGTTATAAATTGTCATTGATGATCGTTTGGTTATTATATTTGTTTACTTAAGATTATTGGACCAAGTAATTTATTCTGGTTACACTATTGAAACAAACAATAAAGAATTTTTCAATTCAAATTAAATATTTTCTTTATCAGTTAGGCAGCCTACTTTTTTTAGAACTGGTAAAGATAACCACTTTTCTTATAGAAATCAATATTAGTTTAAAATCAATCCTTGAAAAATCATTTAAATAAATCGACCTTGGATATTTTTGTTCTTTTAATGGTATAATTTTTATACCTTTATTTTTTGCATTTAGCATTTTTTTAGGTAGAGTTGGAGTAACAAATAGATTTTAGTTAGTCAGAAATAATTCCACCACGTTTCTAGTTAGTTTAGCGAATATAATTTTAATTACTTAATTACAATTATTTTTACATTTTGACAATGTGTTTTGCATGGCACTTACTTTAACATTTCATTTTGAACGTAATTATTATGCTTTCATACATATATCAGCCTTTCTCAATTTAACTTTTTTACCTTGATGAATTTTTGTTGAGCTACTCTAACAATTGTAACAATTCAATCAATAAGTCAATTAATTTAAAATAGTTGAGTTTAGATTTAAAACATATGTTTTAAAAATACTTTTTCATCACTCCGTAACAAAAGTAACTATTTTCGATAACAGCTGACATCAATAAAAGTAGTTGTTTCCCAAGCTCTAATTTAGGACGAAGGAAAATCGATCAGCTGATTTTCCCTCGCTCTAAATTTACTTTCCCTCGCTCTCAATTAGTTCTCCATTTATTCACTACGCGCGCTAGTGTTTTGTTACGGTTTAATTTAATGATGTGAATCAGCTGTGTGTATGGTTGAAAGTTGTTTAATTCTTTTATTTTGATGTTTAAACAAAATTTATAAAAAAAAAAACGTAGGCTTTAGAATATTTTCTCCTATTTTTTGTTTTTAAAATTAATCAAAAATAAACCTAGGATTCCTTTTAAGTTTTAAAAGATTTTGTTTTATTTTGATGTTCAATCTAATTAATTGAGAAATAAAACAGTTCAATATTACTGAGGTCTGCTATTCTCTGTTTGTGTATTTTTACGTTGTGATGAAAAGTATCGTTCATAACTCGTACCGAAAGTTATTATCCGGCACTTGCTCCATTATTCCCGTCCTCGGCTTCACCTCGTACGTAAAAATAACTCTCACATACATACTCTCGCACGTGAAATTGGGGTTCCCAGTGTTCGGCTTCGCCTCACACAAAAACTTGAGCGCGCGCCGGAAAATGCCACTTTCGGTCCTAGTAATGAAATATGCTATTACACATTTATTTGTGCCTTCAAAAACACAAGACATACTTATTTTCCTTTACCATTTACTTACTCCTATATGATATTCTAGTCTAGTAGTGACATGGTGTATGTTTGCACAGCCTCTGCTCCCATCATGGAGACTCCACCACAGAATGTGACAGTGTTGGATGGCAAGGATGCTATCATCTCCTGTAGAGTAGCTGGAGCACCCACTCCCAACATCACTTGGTACTATCAAGGTATATACTCCAACATTACAACTGGAAAATGTAAAACTCTTAATGATGCGAGGCAGATTAACCTATTCAAATTTCAATGTTTTTACAAACAAATGATGCTGCCTTCTTTTTCTATGAAATATAAATTGGTGTAATCATTAAAATATTTCATCTTCGTTTGTATCGCAACAAACCAGGCAGACAAACCTCATCGAATTTATAATTTTTACAAATAAAAATAAAAATGTTTCCTTATGCAGAATTTCTTGCAATATCTAAATTGGTTTGAGTTGAATCTTCGTTAAACCAAAGATTGGTTTGTATCACAATTTACGAACATATCTGGGTCCACAGTACACAAAAAAGGTTTAAACAATTTTAAATTGATTTAATGAATTCCCAACAGTTATTGAGAATTTATACTTATTTTACTTAGTAAAATGGCAGTGATTTGTTACCCTGTTGAGTTTATGAATGTGAAATTTGTATTTAAGGGCTAAGTAATACTTTTTCTCTGAGTTATGTCAACTTCTACCGAGGCAATTTATCGAAATCTGAAAACTATGTATGCTACTGTAAAGAATTTCTTAAATCAATATTAATGTACAGTATATTCCAATGCAACTATCTCTAAATGCTGGAAATCCCTAAAATCAATGGAAACCAGTTTAGTTCCACAAATTGGTATAATGTATGTTATATAGGTATTATATGAACATTGTGAAATGAAAAAAAACATTTTAGACTATTTACTTTTACATTCAACTAAAAGTGTTTTTATAACTCTGTTATTTGTGAAAATGTAGTTGTTTTCATGGTGTTGTTGCAGACTCCCAGCCTGTAGAGCTGAGTGGTCGTCTGCAGGTGCTAGAGTCAGGTGATCTGCTAGTAGCAGCAGTGAGGGAGTCAGACGCTGGCAAGTACGCTTGTGTCAGGGCCAATGAGGCTGGCCAGGTCTCTGCGGCTGGCTACTTGTCTGTACTAGGTAAGTCACAACAACACTTATAGCCCATAAACTAAAGATTTGTTGTTGTAGATCCATACCTTTGACTATTGATAAAAGGAGACACTTCATTCCTATTTTAAACTATATAGCAATTTATAAAAATGGAACACAGTTGAATGTGTCACTGACAGAGTGTGGCGCTGGTATCAAACATTAAAACAAAAAATGAAAGGACAACTAATTATAAACCATAGCATCTTTAATGTTACACCGAAAAATGCCATAGTACTAACAATAAAGAAGGTATGAAATGTTGACAGCAGCACATTCAGTGAGTGGCTCATGTTCTGTTAGAACATTAAATTGGCTACAGTTGGTCCACATAGAGGGGATGTGTACTTCAAATTTCAAAAGTCAATAGTTATATCAAACATTGATTCAACATAATTAAACTTATTACTATTTTAAATGGTTAATGTTTATTTGCAGTGAGGACTCAGATTATCCAACCCCCAGTGGACACCAGAGTTCTGCTTGGCAACACAGCTACTCTACAGTGTAAAGTGTCCAGTGACCCCTCAGTGCCTTACCAGATAGACTGGTTCCATAACGGGCAGTAAGTAGAAGTGGTAGTGCATGGATCATAAAAAATCTCAAGAAAAACTTATAAAATAAGGTTTTGGATTATTAGGATCTTTATTGTGATAGCAGAATTACCTGAATGGAGAAGAAGAGCACACTCTGACACAATAAAACAAAATTCTTGACTTAAAAAATAGAATACATCACTGTTAATGACAACATGTTTATTAACCAAAGAAGGTTTCAGTGGGAATGAGAGATTTCTTCCAACTTAAACTTTCCTTGGTAAAAAATGTTATCTGTAGCTAGTGAGATATAAAACTCGTTTTGTGCAATGTAGTTTTTTTTTTGTGTGTCTTGTGTTAGAATTGGCTCTTACCTATTTACATAAGCCATATCTTTAAAAAAAATCCTTATTCCGAGCAATTGTGTTAATATTTTAAAGTTAATCCAAATAAGATATTTTCAATCTTCTATTAAAAATTTGCTCTTAAAATTCCAGGCTAGTGTATGTTTCAGATAGGTTAGTAGTGAAGGTACTTTTAGTTTTTAAATCTTTGAATTTACATATTCTATTAATCAGTTTTAATCTTATTATTTCTAGAATGAATGCTTAGGCCTCTGAGAAATATGTTGCAACATTTTAAAGAATAAATATTAAATATTGTTCAAATGATTTTTTGTAGAAATTTCTTCTGTGCAAAGATTGTTTTAAATTATGTGGGAACTAATGATAGCTTGGTTTTCCCAGACCTGTAGGTGTGGGATCGCAGCGTGTCAGTGTAGCAGGGGACGGGACTCTAGAGATACAAGCTGTGAGAGCCGCTGATGTGGGTGATTACACCTGCGCTCTGGTGTCCCCGGGGGGCAATGAGACCCGGACAGCACGGCTCAGTGTTATAGAGCTGCCCTTCCCTCCCACCAACCTCGTGGCTACCAGACTGGACAACCGAGCCATCAACCTCACCTGGGCACCTGGCTTTGACGGCAATAGTGAGATACTCAAGTACATCGTGCAGCGGAGAGAAGTCTCTGACCTGGGTGAGTTTACTTTACACAACCAAAATACGGTGATTAAAATACAACATTTTTATGATTTGTGTAACCAGAAATCTTTACATGAAAATTAAAAATAAAGCATTTTCTAATGTGTTGGTTTGCTGATAAATTTGTGGCAAGTCGATTCAAGCATATCAAATCAGTCTTTAGAGAAATATTAATATTGTCCTCTATACAGTTAGGGTAATACAATATCAACAAGAATAATTAGAAACAAATTTAAATGTAGATCTTGCAATTGATAATTGTTATAAACTCTAAGCCAACTTCAATAGATAACTTTGACTCTCACATTACACATACGATTTACAAACTAATCAATTCTACTCATTCCAGGCCCAATCACAGACAACTGGGTGACAGAGCTTAGCAATGTGTCTGCCAGTCATCGTTATGTCTTGCTGCGGAACCTCAAAGCTGCTGCTTCGTACCAGTTCAGAGTCAGCGCAGTCAACAGTGTAGGGGAGGGGTCACCCTCAGACCCTTCTAATGTCATTGCTCTTCCTCAAGAACGTAAGTTTACAACTCAACTGTTTTGTTTGATTTCATTAAGATTTTTAACATTCTTAGACATTTTAAAATTTGTTGATATTTAATGTGTTTGGTTTTATTATTGTTTTAATTTATAAAATGATATTAGCTTTCATGAAAACGAACAATGAATTAAATATGATAATTTTATAATCATTCTCAAAATAAATTGGTTGATTTGTAAAATAAAGTTTAAAAGTGTTCCAATTAGGACTTTCAATCTGTTTCTTGTAGGTAATCCTTAATTTATACACAAATCAGAAAGGGATCATGGAATTATTTTATAAGGCTTTAAACTTAATTATTGAAATGTTTTTAGGATTTATTTATTTGCTACTCAATAGTAGTTAATAAATATGAATTTAAAAACCTAACAAATATTTAAGTAAATGTAAATTATAATAGCATTAGTAAAATATAACGGTAAGCTTTTTTAAATCATCAAAATAATTAACATTGTTCTGTAATTTTGCAGCACCGTCAGGGCCTCCTATAGGGTTTGCAGGATCAGCCAGGTCATCATCAGAGATCATCACGCAGTGGCAGCCCCCCATAGAGGAACACCGCAATGGTCAGATCCTGGGCTATGTGATCCGCTACAGACTCTACGGCTACAATGAGAGTCCTTGGAACATCCGCAACATCACTAACGAGGCTCAACACAACTACCTGGTGCAGGGGCTGATCACATGGAAGGACTATGTGCTGCAGATTGCTGCTTACAACAACAAGGGAGTGGGAGTGTACAGCGACGGCATCAGGATCAAAACCAAAGAAGGAGGTGAACTGCTTTATCAAACTTCCTTCATAGATAATTTGAGCAATTTAAAATTACACGTTTTTAAAAGGCAAATTGTTATTGAGGGTCTTTGGATCTACTGTATTACAGTCTCTTTTTCAAGCTTTTTCTAATGTAATAAAAACTACAATCAATGGGACCGATTTTTAATTATTTCAACACTGTAGAACTTTAACCTTAATGTACGTATATAATGTAAAATAATAGATTTATCTCCCTGTTTTCGCACATATATTTATCACAACTTGTGTTGACAGTACCTGAGGCCCCTCCCACTGATGTCAAGGCTGAAGCTGTCAACTCCACCGCAGTACAAGTCTGGTGGAAGCCTCCTCACCCGCAGAAGATTAACGGAATTAATCAGGGATACAAACTGCAAGCGTTTATTGGTAAATATTTATTTCCTGGTGAAATTAAGTCTATAGTTAAGTTAAGATCAATCACTTCTAAAACACTTTGTCTTAATAATAATGTAATGTTGATGTATTAGTTCTAGTGATAAAATATTATTAATAAATTATTAAATTTTAGCTCTTCTGACAACACAAAATCTAGCTAAGAGTTTGAAAACTGTTATATGCAATTTTGTATACATCTTTTGACACCTTCTTGATTTACTGTGGAAACTACCAACCTATTGAGTAGTGTTTAGTTTTGCCCTTTTTATCACTTTCAAGATTTATCTAATTTATTTTGTACTAGACAATTTACAACGCAACTGTGATGTTACAGGTGGGGGAGTCAGCAGAGTGATGACAGTTCCACCAAGTCTGTTTGACCCGTTGGCTCAACAGAGTGCTGTCATGTCTGGTCTGCGTAAGTTCACCAGTTACAACTTGACAGTCCTGTGCTTCACAGACCCTGGCGATGGTCTGCCCAGTAACCCTGTGGAAATTACCACTCAGGAGGATGGTGAGGTTTATATTTGTATTGAAAATAAAATTTGTCTACGTTGTCATACAAAGTGGCATTTTATTTACTTGAATTAGTTTACAATGTTTCCAACATTTTACTTTGAAAACATTTGATTTTTTTCAGTACAATTTCCTCACTTTGGATGACAACTGAACAAAACAAAATTTATTAGGATAAAATTTTGTTTTTAGTTGAATAATATTCAACAGGAACCTTTATGAAGGGTTCAATTGATTCTTATGAGTAAAATGTTATATATAAAATTTGTTAAGGATATTTTAGTTTGATGACGAGGCTATCATTCATTTATGAAGATGATTAACAGTATGCAAAATAAAATTGTAAATGGATAATATTTTTTTTCTTTTGCTGAATTTGTTTAAAATGACATTGCTTTTATTACACATGAATGTCGCTGCAATAATACAGCTCAGACACAAAACATATTAACCTCAATGTTGTTGGCCCCCTAGGCCTAAGTATGTTTGTTGACCACAATATTTTTTCTCAAACTAATAATAACTGTTTATTACATTCCAAAATCTGTAGACAAAATATAAAATGCAATTTTAGATCAAAATTTACAAAATTGACTCCCAGCAATATTTGTACGTCTACATTTTTTTTCTAGTTAAAAAAGTGCCACTTTGGCCACAAGTTGTTCAAATAACTATTTTGTTTAGAGAAAATGACAATTTGACTAATTTTATTCTCCACTCCCAGTTCCAGATGAAGTAGGAGGTCTACAGTTTGAAGATGTGTCGGACAGAGCTGTGAAGGTTGTGTGGCTGCCACCAGAGAGAACCAATGGTATACTGACTGGTTACACACTCAGCTACATGGTCAAGGACAAGCCTGATACTCTCAAGACTGAGAACTTCACAGCAGACACTCTGAGTGTGATGGTGACACAACTGCAGGCCACAACACACTACAGGTTTGAGGTGAATGCTTGGACCAGTGTTGGCGCAGGGCCTAGACGAGTAGCCACCATACAGTCTGGTGTAGAGCCTGTACTGCCCTCTCCACCCACCAAACTGGCTGTCACCAACATCGAGGCATTCTCTGTTGTGTTGCAATTCACACCCGGGTTTGATGGCAATTCCTCCATCACCAAATGGATTGTCGAGGTAATGATTTGTTTACACACAAAATGTAATTACATTTAAACAATATTGCATTAATTAGCAATATTAACTTAGATAAATACTACAATCTATTAAAGTTTATTTAATAAGTATTTATATTATCCCTAAGGAGATAAAATAAATAATAAAATAATAAACTTTATATTGCTTGTTTACTGATGTTATTGTCATGAAATTCCACAATTTTCTGTGTTTCATTTTTTTGCTTATAAAAACAACCAAAAATGCATTATTATTTTCCTTGTGCTACAGTAAGATAATAGTAATGGTAATAACACTTTTATCCCAAAAGTTAGTAATAAAGTTACGGTATAATAAGAAATATATACTTTGATTGGTATTTACAAACAAGGTTTTAAATACTCCTAAAATGACAACATTCTCAAATAGTTGCAACCCTTTTTAAAACAATTTCTTTATCAGCATTGTACGTGTTATTAAATTTACGGAAAGTTAATAAATAATATGTCTAATAACACCTAAAACATACACATATTCAGTTTACTCACAAGACGGTAAATATATAAAATATTGCAAAAGGTGATCGATTTCGATTGGACACTCCAATCATCATCAGATCCAATAGGAGAATGTTTCAATCCAATCAAAATGAATCACCACTTACCATCTTTTTATGAGTTAACAGTATAAGTGTAAATACATGTTTTAAGTGTTATTAGACAATTTTTATTTGTTTCAATGACTTTTTTTTAATAAAATTCACATATAAATAATTGTTGTGATTTTTACTTGCAGGCTCAAACAGCCCGGAACACATCCTGGTTTCCTGTGTTTGAGGAGTCCAGTCCAGATGCCATGACACTCACAGTTGTTGGACTTGTGCCGTTCACTCTGTACCGGCTACGTTTGATTGCTCGTAACGTGGCTGGCACATCAGAACCGTCAGAGCCAACCAAGGAGTTCCAGACCATACAAGCTCCTCCGTCACACGCTCCTCACAACGTCACTGTCAGGGCACTGAGTGACACCGAGCTTCGCGTCAGGTGGATTGTAAGTAGCTGTTTACTACTACATTACATTTTATAATGTTATAAAATAGTAGATACATAGCTAAGCTATTACCAGTTATTACATTAAAACTACCCCTATTGTCACTAATCCCATAAAATATATATTCTTGAACTACCGTGTAGCTCCAAGCTCACCATTTCATATTTAAAACTATTTTTACCTTGATGCTTTATATTTTACTAAAAGTTTTCTCTTTTTATAATTTCTTAAACAGCAAATAATAGTTAGGACACTTCTTAAAATTTAAAATGATTTTATTTGAGATGGTATTATTCTTACTTATTAATGTTTAACTATGAGTATAATTGTCATGACTGATGTTCTCAAATTTGAAATTTTGTATCTTGCTTATAATAAAGAACCTTACAAATGAATAATTAGAACAACTACTAGAAAATTTGTTTTCTTTCACTCAATTTTCATTTCACCCTAACCACTACTTCTCGCACACAACTAATCCCATTGTACCATTAATTATTTCATACCTTATTTTAACTTTTTTAACATTTAAATATGTCAATGCCTTTGGCAAATTCACTCTTATATAAAAATAAATAGCTATCTCTTTGGTAATAGTATATTTCATTACTAGGACCAAAAGTGGCATTTTCCAGTGCGCGAGTTTCATGTGTGAGGCAAAGCCGAACACAGGAAAACCAAATTTCACTTGCGAGGCAAAGCCGAGGACGGGAATTATTGAGCAAGTGCCAGAAAATCACTTTCAGTATGAGTTATGAACAATACTTTTCATGACGACACAAAAAACTCACATATAGAAAACAGACCTCAATAACATTAAACTTTTATATTTTTAATATTTGATAAAATACCTATATGAAAGAAAATTGTCCATAGCAAACCTACATAATAAATTAAATGTTCAAGGTTTTGTTTACAGTGCCGTTTTAATTGTTGTTGACAATCACACCTTATCGTTTATAAGTCTTTTTAATGTTTTGAAACATCTTCTTTAAGTAGTTTTAGACTACTCTTTATCATAAAAAAATCTAATTCACCACCTATATGGTTTTTATGATTATAATACTAATATAAATAAGTATATTTATAAATAAAAATACATCCTTCGTCAATCGTCACTTAAATTAGTTTAAAATTTTGTACTTTGTGCCATTACATAAACTTTTTTTATTTCCTCTTCATATCTTTCTCGTGATTTTTCTGTTGGAAGCTTTTTAGTTATCTCTGAAGGTTTTTTCATCAAATCATCAGGAATGTTAAAAGTATTAGGAGCAATTTCATAAACGCATCATGCTTAAAACACAGCAAAACAAACTAATGCCTGTTTCTGTATACATTTAGATTGTACAACAATGAAAACAGCTGATTTAAATCATTTTTAAAACCGTAACAAAATACTAGCATGTGTAGGGTAAATGAAGAACTAATCGAGAGCGAGGGAAAATCAGCTGTTAGTTTTTCCTCGCTCTAAATTAGAGCTTGGGAAACAACTACTTTTGTGATATCAGCTGTTATCGAAAATAGCTACTGTCGGAACGGAGTGATGAAAGTACAATTTTACAATTTAATCACATAGTTTTTAGTAGGTAATAGTTATTTCTGTGATTTTTTTATTGACTAATTATCTGTTGTTTGTTTACAGCCTCTGCAGCAGACTGAGTGGTTTGGTAACCCCCGAGGTTACAACATCTCGTACAGGGAGGTAGGCAGCACCAGTCCGCCATTGTTTATCATCATAGAGGATCACACAGCAAACTCCCATGTGGTGGACAAACTGGAGGAGTTTGCTCAGTACGAGATCGTGTTGACTGCGTGTAATGACGTTGGTGTGTCGGCCCCGAGTCCTATAGCTTTGGAGCGCACCAGAGAATCAGGTACAGTAGAACCCCAGATAACCGAAATAAAGGTGGGTGAGCCGTTTCAGGTAACCAATATTTTGGTTAACCCCTTATATGTTAAAATATAGTCTAATTGAATTAATTGATATGAATTACCACGGTGTGTACGAAAAATGAATTTAAAACAATGTCTATATAGGCTAGAATACAGTGGTTTATTTCAGTTACAAAAATGTTACAATGGTTTATAAAATATTTTAAACTAAACCACTTAATAAAACATATTTTATCCCTGTATTATTTTATGAAACTGTTTTGGTTAACCCGGGTTTCGGTTCGGTCAACCCGAATTCGGTTAACCGGGGTTTGACTGTATGTTAATATATTCCTTTCTTATCTATCCAACTTTGATTATGTACTGTTGTCATTATAATTTTATTTTTTTATATAACAACAAATTTATATACGAATTAATGATTTGTTTATTTAACAAATTCTGTTTTGTCTAGTTAATAATATTCTCTGGAGTAGAGTAGATTTTTTTGTGAAATGTCATTATTGTTTCTTAAATCTCTTATGTTTTGGGTTTGAAGGGCAGTTTTACTACCAGTTTCGTTAAATAAACAAAAAAAAATCATTTTTACTATCATTGATGTGAAATGTTTTTAAGATACAATACAACAAATTCTTTTGTACATAAATTTTAAACCAAAGGAAAAATTTTAATGACCATACAAGAGTTTCAAATGTAAAACGCCAAATATTTTTCAGTACCTTCATTTGGGCCAATGAATGTTGCTGCCAACGCAACATCTTCAACCACGATCGTAGTGCGTTGGGGAGATGTGCCGAGGCAGCACAGGAACGGCCAGATAGAGGGATACAAAGTGATCTACGGGACTGGAAACCCACGGAATCCACTACCTCCTCAAGTGAAGGACATACCCTCCAACAGAACATTCACCACTACTCTGACTGAACTGCGCAAGTTTGTGGTCTACAGTATACAAGTGCTGGCGTACACTAGGCTGGGAGACGGCACTCTCAGCACTCCACCAGTCAGGGTCCAGACCTTTGAGGATGGTAGGCTACTTTTCAAATTTAAAAATTGCCTTTTAAGCATGTTTCAGAATATTTTTTTTTTTACTATTTCAGCTTTTAATGAGATTGAGGCTTATAATGTACGGATTGAAGAAATCATTTTAATGACGCACCACCCATTGTACAGCATTTGTAAAATATCTATAAAATGGTGCCCAAACATTCTAGATGGTGCTTTAAATCAACTAATTTAAATTTTTAAAAAATGCTTGATTGACTTTTAATTTTGTTTTTAAATTTACTTAAAAATTTTTAAAACTGGCTATCTTCTTACAGAATATTTTTTAGATTTAAATAGATCATGAAAAACATATTATCTCAGAGTGTACAACTTTGATGTTTGTGTTGCAGTACCTGGACCACCATCGAATGTGTCATTCCCAGACGTGTCTCTAACAACAGCCAGGATCATCTGGGATGTTCCAGAGGAGCCTAATGGAGAAATCCTTGCATACAGAGTTAGTTACCATCTGCAAGCAACTGGAAGTCTCAACTTCTCTAGAGAGTTCCCACCTTCAGATAGAACATACAGGTTGGTGTGAACATTTGTTATTTTTCTCTAAAATTTACTTTATCTGCTTTAATATTTCTGTGCAGTTATCATGTTTGTTTAATGGCCCAATGTAATTTATTTAACTAAATTTGGTGAGTCGGCTATTTAATATCTTTATTGTTTTTGTCAGCACAATGGTTTTTAAATTATATAATATCTTTGAAATTATAGATTACAATATTACCTTATTCTTACTTTTTCAGGGCAACTGAGCTAGAGCCAGAACAGTACTACCTGTTTTCTGTGACGGCCCAGACCAGGCTGGGATGGGGAAAGTCCACAGAGGCTCTTGTCTACACCACTAATAACAGAGAGAACCCTCAACCCCCGTCAGCTCCCCAGCTTAGCCGCAGTCAGGTGCAAGCCACTCAGATCACCTTCAGTTGGGCACCCGGCCGCGACGGATATGCTCCTCTTAGGTACAGGAAGTATTCATCCTAACATGATAATGATGACTGGATTTTAGTTACATTTTAGAGTTTTATTTCTTTCATGTAAATTCACTGTTAGTTTATTTCCAACTTGCTGACATTTTACTTCAAGATAAAGCATTTATGTTAAACCTTATTAAATTTTTTTATTTGGTTAATATTTAATTTTTGATCTAGTTTTCATTATTCAGTTTTGAGTTGTTATATGGGGTATACAATTATAAAAATAAATATAGATTTTTTTAATTTCTGTTTTGAAACATTTACTTTTGACTTGAGACAATCGTTTCCAAGTGTGTAACATTAAAATAACCAGTGTTGGGAAGTAGCGCGCTACAAGTAGCGACGCTACAGTAGCGCGCTACTTTTTTTGTAGCGTTAGCTGTAGCTACGCTACTTTTAAGATTTCGTAGCTTTAGCTGTAGCTAGCTACATTTTTAAAGTAGTTGTAGCGGAATTTTAGCTACTTTTCTCGCTACATTAACATTGTTTGAGATAGTGATTTTTATCATAACCTCAACCTTACGTGAAACAACCTCTTTCAATATCAAACTGAGATTTAAAAAAAAATTAGGCCTACTTTCTTGGCTTCATACAGCTGGTTGCAGCCGTTTCATTCCCTATTACAACGTTGTGTGGACATGGAGGCCATTAAATGAGTGTTATCCACATTTTTGGCTCTCATTTCCAATTTACTACTCTATGATTACTGTCAGATAAAATAAAATCGCTAGATGCAGACGACGTTTAAACGTTACCGGTGACAAGAGAAGCTATTGAATGCTTGCAAGTCGTTGGCAGGGAAATTAGTAATCAATTTAGTTTCTTTATTATATCGATAGTGTTTCAACTTGGGTTCTAATGGACACCAACACTAAACCTTAAAATAATGAGAAAGCTGGTCTATTAACCTTTGATTCAGCTGTTGATTGTGGTTCATCATCACAAGCCCTTCCTTGGTTAGATTACGAATATTTTTCAAATGTTTACTAAATTAACAAAGAGGAAATTACGTGATGAGATTTAAGATATGCCTAGACTACATGATAATTGTAAAAATCTCCATATAACATGAAACTTGCATTGAAAAAATAGCATAGTTTGCTCCTGCTAACAGCTCTTGTATACTACTATTCCTAGGCTATGCTATGGTTTAAGACAAATACAAAGTTCCAAGTTCAATTATTAGGAATATATCTGTTTAGTCCTTGCAAGAACAAGCCTACTATAGCCAACTTGTTACATAGCCAAGTAGGCCTACATGTTATTTTTACTTTACAATTTTCAACATGTTTAAATTAAAAGCCGATTTCAGGATAAGTTGCTGAATACTGTTTTCTGCACCAACTAGGTTGAAGCACAATTTACCCTATATGCATAATGACAATAAAGGACGATTTCTCGACATATAAAAGTGTTATTCATAGAACAAGTAACTTATCACTATGGTTAAAAGTTATAGCAATGTCGTTTTAACATTAAAAATAAAGAAAGGCAATAAACTCCAATTTCAGTAGGCTAGGCTCTGTAACACAAAAAAGTATTTTAAATAATCGTTTTACAGTTTTATTGGTCTTAATTGATAATATAAGACATATATAAATGAATCTATATTAAATAAATAAAATGAGCTTTTAAAATATAGTTTGGTTGTATGTCCTTTGAACTTAATGAAATTTACATATAAGATGCTTAAAAATAATGCAATATTTAAATAAGTAGCCTTCTAAATAGGACGGGGCACCCAACTATTTGGTTCTGTTGATGTAATGTTAGTTTTATAATGCCAACAAATTAAACACAATCTAGGAATAATTTGTTTTCCAAGTAATGTTAGATACAATACTGACATTTTTGTTTAAATGTTTGTTCAATAAAAATGTAGTTGCAATTAATTTTACATTTACCTAATGTGCGTGGAAAAAAAGTAACGTCTTTGGAAAAGTAGCTAAAATTGTAGCTGTAGCTACATTTCATTGTAGCTGTAGTTGTAGCTAGCTACTTTTTCGGAACTGTAGCTGTAGCTGTAGCTAAGCTACTTTTTTGGAAATGTAGCAGTAGTTGTAGCTAGCTACATTTTAAAAGTAGCTTCCCCAACACTGAAAATAACATTGTTTAGAAGTGAAGTATTTGTATTTTAAATGAGATGAATATTTCAGGTACTACACAGTTCAGCTGGCCGAGGGTTCAGGACCTTGGATGTCAGTACAAGAAAGAGTTGACCCATCAGTAACATCATACACTGCCACAGGGCTGAAACCATACACAAGCTACAGGTTTAGAATACAAGCAACCAATGACATTGGACCTAGTGGCTGGAGTGTTGAGTCTTCTCAAGTCAGGACTCTACCTGCAGGTACTCTCATTAAATATGTTAAACTTGTCATTAAATATGCTCATAAAATGTTTAAATTATGTCTAATGTTAGTTGGTTACCTATTTTATGTGTGGTGATTATTTGTTTTGTTTTGCAGCTCCCAGTAAGGGAGTCAGTGATGTCAAAGTGATCCCAATAACCACGACGAGTGTGAGAGTAGAGTGGACAGCAATCCCAGACAACTTCTGGTCTGGTGATCCTGAGACTGGAGGATACAGGATTGTGTTCCAACCGGTGTCTGATTTCCCTACCTCACTACAGGCAACACCCAAACAAGAGGTCAAGGGAATTAAGGTATGTTACAACAACATTTGCTTAAAATGATGTATTTAAATAATTTATTCGTCCTACAGTTAAATATTGATTTGTTCAACTATAAATATATGATTTGTTCAACTATAAATATATGTTTCTCCTAACAGTGTGTGTCTTGTTATTTGTAAATTTGTTTACAGGTTTTTTACATGTTTAGATTTTGTTTAATTACTGATCGAAGATAAGAGATATACTACGACATTTTGCCGCAACCTGTAGGGTTAGGTAGTAATGGGAAAACAGTTCCGGGCTAGATCTTAGTGTCCTAGAATTTAAAAGTAAGATAGTACAAAAAATTGTATCTAACTGTGGTAAAATTTTGATAATATTTTACTTATTTTTAATAACAATGAAACCCCCCTTGGACTATTACTAATCGTTTTCAAACAATCTGAATCTGTATATAAGATATTTTTTCAACTTCAAACTCCTTACCAGTAAACCGCAGTATACATTTCATCTGTCTTGTCTACAGACAACATCGGTGGTACTGACAGAGCTGTCCCGGGACCACAACTATGAGATCGTGGTGGTGCCATTCAACTCGCAGGGTGCTGGGCCGGCGTCACCCCCTGTAGCAGTGTACGTGGGTGAGGCGGTCCCTACAGGGCGACCTAGGAGTGTCACTGCTGAACCTGTCAGCTCTACTGAGGTACGCCTACACTGGCTGCCTCCCCAGCAGAAGGAACAAAACGGAGACTTACTTGGCTACAAGGTATAGGCATTATTTTGTATTTTGTGCCTTTTTATTTATTGAAAGAAGAAAAAAACAGAAATACAAATCCTGATCTTTTTAATATCCAGCATCACCCTTACATTATAGGTAGCATTATTAGTTAAAAACTCAATTACAATTGACATCTGGGTTCAGAACCAACTCTTTTTGGATGAAATCAGCAACCTTCAAATTTGGTGAGCAATAAAGCGAGCACAAACCACTCACCTACCCAGACATATCATCTGTATCAACCACAACCAGGGAGTGTTCTGTACCACCTACCCTGTAAAATGCATAACAAAATAATCCTTTCACTTTTACCCCTTTACTACCCCTAATTACAGCTAAAAGGGTAAGTGAAAATGTAGTGTAGAAAATAGAAATAGAACGAATCAATTTCTTGAAAAATAATTGTTGACTGATCATCTTGATTTCTTAAGTAACCAAGCCCATGTTTGTAAATAAATAAAAACTCAGCACATTGATTGTGTTCACAGATCTTTTACCTGGCCACAGAGCTGTCACAAGAGCTAGATCCTGAGGACAAGGTAGAGGAGGAGCTGGAGGTAGTGCCTGCGTCCTACACTGGCCACAGTTTGGTGTTCCTGGACAAGTTTACTGAGTACAGGATACAGATACTAGCATTCAACCCAGCTGGTGACGGGCCTAGGTCTACACCCGTGGTTGTCAAAACTCTACAGGTAAGAAATCAAACAACTCATTCAATTAAAAGTAAGTGGGTAAGATACAAACATATCCGATAAAGAATTATGAGTTAGTTTTATATTAATCTGTTTCGTTTTGTATATTTAATTATTAATGATATTTACAGGGACTTCCTGGACCTCCGAGAGATTTGAGATTTTCTGACATCACAATGACCAGTCTGCTTGTATCTTGGGACCCACCGAAAAAGCGGAATGGAGAATTGATTGGATACATCGTTACTTATGAAACTGCAGAGCAAAATGAACGTAAGTTCATGCTTTAATATAAAACTTGTTTTATCATTTAACTGTAAATATATTTAAAATAATAGTTTGTGTAGCATGTGTGAGTTTTTTTTTTTTTACTTGAAAAAGTCAATTGTTATTATTATTGAATAAACATTTCTTTCCAAACTGTCACACTTTAAATTAAACTGGTTTGTATTGTAGGTAAAAGAAAAAACTATATAATAGGTACTATGAATGTTACAAAACCTCGTTTTCATTGAAGGCTAATTGAATATTTTTACAACTTTTAAGTAGGCCTAACCAAGTTTTTTATTTAAGTCATTACTTACTTCACATCACAATACTTAGTTAGTGTTTATTTTTAATAAAACAAGTTTGTAATAAATATATTTGTTAATAACACCACACCAATTCTGTTCACAGGATTTAGCAAACAAGTGAAGCAAAAGGTGTCAGATAAAAGTCTGTTGGTGCAAACGCTTGAGGAGGAAGTCACTTACACATTCACTGTGCGAGCTCAGACCATTGACTACGGACCTGCTGTGAAAGGAAATGTAACAACCGGACCACAAGAAGGTTCACCAACACGACCCAAGGAACTTACTGTTGGCAAGACTGTGTCATCCGTGGAGCTACATTGGGTGAACGGTGCCTCGGGGAAAGGACCTATCCTGGGATACTACTTCCAGAGCAAGAGAAAAGGTGAGATGATGCTACATATCTAACTGACTATATGAACTACCAATGGTGTCGGTGTTTGGCAGTAACTACTAATCTACAATGTTAATTTGTGTTCTTGTTAACGATTCACAACAAAAATTCTATTTTTGTATGTAACTGATATTTTGTATTTAACAACAAAAAAGATAGATATGCTGTGAAATAAATGCAAATGTATTCTCTGTTAAAAGGGTTTGCAAAATATACTATTAATCAAGATATCGTTTTTTGGTAATTATTTACTATTAATTAGCAGTATGTACAAGTTCATGGACTATCTGTGTCTGATTTATTTATTGTTTTGTATTCTCATAATAAATTAGTATTATCTCAATTGTTTAACCCAAATATAACTGTAGGATAGTTATTATTCCCTTGGCACAGTATTGTTGAGCAAATCTGACCTGTTTATTATACAATTAAACATAATGTTACAAAAACTGTTCTTATAATGCAGGTATGAAGAGTTTATTTTGGACCGACAATAAATCAATACACAATATTTCCTTGTTATTAACAAAATATAACAAAACTAATTAGTTCCTTATCACTTAACAAATTTTAATAAATTAGGCTTCTGCTAGTTTTAATTTATGCTTTTTTATTTGTTTAACATTGTGTTGCCATTAAGGTATGTTTTTGATTGATTTTATTTAATAATTTTTTGCATTTTTGTTTTACATTCCATAGCAGTAATGGAAGAATGGCAGCGGTGTAAGTTTAGTATGCGATTTTAATTGTGTTTAGCACATTATGCTTTAATTTAACACATTGCATGCCTTGAGTTTACTATCTAAATATGATTTTGTTTAAAGAAATGTACCTAACCTTTGTCATAGCAGGTGTTTACATCAACTAACAACATCCTATGTAACTAAAATGTTTTCAGAGATCTGTAATAAACCATGTCCGACCCTCCCTGTTTGATATAGCAGAATAGAGCTTAGATTTAAGTGTGTATAAATTAGTAACAATTAAATTGTGTGATTTTTGTGTGTGATTTGTTAGAAAAATGTACATTTTTTTAATGCTAATGTGTTTGATTGCTGATGTAACTAAAACTTCTATAATTTTTGCTGTAGAACTTTTGGAACAACATTATGTTGATTATATTGTAGAAAAAATAAACAGCAGCAAAAAATCCACTATTTATGTTTTAAAAATCTAAAAGAATGTTGTTTGAATAAATACAGAAAATATTGATATTTAACATGTTTTAAAAATATAATACGGAAACGGAACCAATATTAATCTTGCACATAGTGTATTAAAGTGTAAAATTAATTAAAAATTATAATCAAATTTAAGGATTTCTAAATATTTAAAAATATATTCTTAAATCTTGTATCCAAAACAATTTTTTTAATGTAGAAGATACAGTTGAAATTTATTCTCTCTGATATTTGCTTTTATTTTGAATCATCTCGAAAACTAATATTTTTATTTTTGATACATTAATAATAAACTATATAATCAATTAATATTAAAATGCATTTTTGTATAGTTATAACTTTGCAACTAACATATTTAATCACCATGCGAACAAAAAATGTAAGAAGCAAGACAACTAAAATAATGGTAATATCCGTATCATAAATTTTACATCTATGTAATATACCTATTGAGATTGGCTCACTTGAGCCTTACTGACATTATTAACACACTCAACATTTCTAAGCAAGGTTGATGATCAAAACTGAAATGATAATAGAAAAATATATGTGTTTTTGTTGTTTACTAAAATTCAAATCATTTTGCGTCTAATCTGCTCTAAAAGCCTTTATGGTCTATTGGAATTCTGTTTTATTTAATGACTTGAACAAATTAAAATATTATAAACTAAATTATATATATATATAGATATAAAATTCAAGATTTTATTCTCAAATTCAGTGGTTCCAATTTAATATCTAAATCTTCTTTTAAAGATTTAGCAGATTCAACATTATTGGCCTTGACACAATGATGTAATTTTTAGGTATTTAATGAAACAATATTAGACATTCATATTAAGATCAGTTGTAAGGGTAAATAAATAATGTGTTTATAGGTCTTCAACTTAAATATTTATTCATGAAATTGTATTTTTAAGGTCTTTTGAGATTTGTTCTTTTTGATGAATTTTTTTTTTTGCTTCCAGGTACCTTTAATTTTATTCTAACAATTTAATTTCACGTTTAATTTTGCGATAGCTCATTTTGTTGTATTTGACTAATATAGTATGTTTGTGTTCCAGATGACACCAGATGGACTACAGTGACCCGCACTGGTAATGGTCCTCTGCAGGAGTTTGCCATATCCTACCAGAGTCTGCTGCCTTCTACTGCCTACACCTTCCGGGTGATATCATACAACAAATATGGCATCAGCTATCCTGCCTACTCTGATGACGTGGTTAGTATGTTCTATCAGTTACCGTATCCTGCCTATTCTGATGATGTGGTTGGTATGTTTAATCAGTTATCCTGCTTACTCTGATGACGTGGTTAGTATGTTTCATTTATGTAAAAAAAGTTGTTAAACTCTACGTGTAAGTTCAATAATTCTCTTTGTTAAAAGGAAAATAATAACTATGATTAATATTTTTTAGGTTTTGACGCCATCAAAGCTCTACCTAGAATATGGATACCTCCAGATGAAGCCTTTTTACCGCCAGACATGGTTCATGGTAGCTTTGGCTGCAGCGTCGATTGTCATCATCATCATGGTGGTTGCCGTCCTCTGTGTTAAAAGCAAGAGTTATAAATACAAACGTAAGTGTCATGCTAATAATTTAAGCTCTTCTACCTAATTTGTTAAACAGTAGATGTAACAACTTTATCCAAATAAGTTATAACTGAATCATTAATTTGGAATTTAGTTAGACCTTTGTAAAATGTTATTAATTAAGTCATAATCATGCTACTTCATAAAATAAGATTTAAAAATTATATATTATACTCGTGACTTGTATGGTAGTATTGTGCACATTTACTGACAATATCCAATTACAAATCTGTAGATGTTTGTTTGATCACAGTTTTTTGTGCCTTTTTTGTATTTCTTAAACCACAATAAGGGGAAAAATATTTGTCTTGAACGCTAGCATTGCAAAGCAATTTCTCCATATCAAAGTGCCATCTTGTTTTGTATTTTTGTTAATAGTTTTAATATGATACTACACTAATACAAATTGTGTATGAAAATATATTATTTTGCAAAATCTCAAATCTTGTTTTTAGTATATATATTTTTCTCTTATGTTTTGACTTAAATTTTATTTTAACATAATTTTCAGAAGAAGCACAGAAGACCCTAGAAGAGTCTATGGCTATGGACATTGATGACCGCCAGCAGCTAGCCATGGAGCTGTACCGTGGAGGAGGTACATTGGGCAAACGTAGCACTCTGGCTAGGAAACATCTGGCTCCCCCCGGTCCTCCGATGCTGGGCAAATCTCCCCCTCGCCCCTCTCCTGCTTCAGTGGCCTACCACAGCGACGAGGAGAGTCTCAAGGGCTACGACGAGAACCCTGACGACAGCAGCGTCACCGAGAAACCCTCGGAAATCAGCTCTTCAGAGTCACAGGTGTGTGCTTATTTTAATTGTAATTTTATACTCTTAAAAAAAAATAGGCCCAACATTTATACTGTTATTAAAGGTTTTGTTATCAAAGTTCCACTAAATAATTATGTTATAATTTGGCTTTGAAACAATATTTTCAACATTTTAAAGTTTATTAAACAAAATATTGAACCATTTTGGAATGCTCTATTGGGCACATAAACCACATTTTTATTGTGCATTTTTTGTTAACCCTTCCAACTTCCAACCCACTTGGGAAATTCTAAGTGACATATTGTGTTTAACATGCTCATCACAAACCTCTTTTGTTGATGTTTAGGGCTCAGAAAGTGAGAATGAGAGTGTGCGCTCGGATCCACACTCGTTCGTCAATCACTACGCCAATGTGAACGACTCGCTGCGGCAGTCGTGGAAGCGACAGAAGCCTGTACGCAACTACTCTAGTTACACAGACTCAGAACCTGAGGGTAGTGGCAGTGCTGTGGTCAGTCTCAACGGAGGACAAATCATCATGAACAACATGGCCCGCAGTCGCGCACCTCTACCAGGCTTCTCATCCTTTGTATGATCTCCAACACGTGCAATGTAAATAGTTCTAGTTATAGTGAAAGTATGTTGAATGTGATCATTGTGTATATATACCTACGTTGGGAAACAGTGGAATTTAGATTGGTTATTATTTATAATTTTTGAATGTGTTCAGTTTTTATTCCTATTACACATATAAAAAAAAGTCTAAAAGAACTTCAACTCTATTAAAAATAATAGGGTTGAATAAAAGTCAAAAGTATTATTAATGCATTTTCTATAAGATTCCAACCTTATTAAGGCATTTAGTTAGTTACAAATGGCTTTTACAATGTAAGAAAAGAAACAAAATTATACTTTGCTAGTTGTTTGGAAAGCATTTAGGACTCCATGGATAGAAATTATTCTCTCTTAAAACAAAACAATCTACCTCAATTGAACATTAGCAAAATTGAGTAAATTGTTTATTGGTTTAACATTTAAAATTCATATTTTATATTTGATTTATTTATATAATATAATTATATTATATGAATAATATAATTTTTAAATCATTTTATATTTCTATTAGATTTAAAAAGTGAGATTAATTTTACTTAAAGTAGCTGCGTGTAAGTATATATTCTATACTTTCTGTGTGCCAGTTTTAAGATCAAACAACAAATAAGTTATGTTATAGTTGTAAGAAACTGTTCATTAAAATTGTATAATATAAAATTTATTTGTATATATCACTGATTCCCAAAACTGTATCTTAATTACAGTGGAGATGTCTCAACACATTAATGTTAGCGTCATTTTGTACATTTATACACTGAGAATCAAACTTTAATCCTTACTTTCCTCAAACTAGTATTAAGGGAGACCGCAAGTAAAGCGGCCGTTAAGTCAAAAAGTCTGAGGCAGCTATGCTGTGTTATATTTTTATACTATAAGCAGCTAAATAGAACATGTATAGATTTGGTCTGTATATTATTTATTACTCTTTGTTCTAATTTCCTAGAACAATTGTGACAGAGATGACCATAACATTGTAAAATATTGTAATTATAGATTTTAAAATGCATTTCTAAACTTATTGTAAGACAACATTATGTAGTAAGGTAATCATTCCTCTAGTTGCACGAGCACTGTCGCATGTGTTGTAGACTGGTTTAGAATTTAGAAAAGTCTGATCTATTTATTGTTTGTTCATTTAAATGTCATGAGAGCTACAAATTTGGTAGTTTAAGTGGGGGAAAGTAATTTTGTTGACAATTATTAAGTTAATTTTTTCTTGACGTGCAATGTTATGCTAATTTTTAGACTTATCACGACTGTGTAAGATGGTACTAAGTGATGCCGGATGATATCTAGTAAATCATACTGTATATTCTAAGGTATACAATTATAAACGTAAAACAGCACTGTATTATTTTAAACTTGTTTGTAGTAAACTTATTACAAACATTGTTTACACATCAATCTGTGTTCACAGGTATTCTTACAATGTTCAAGTGTATTATGACAGATTGTTATTTTTAGTGGTTATCAATTTCCGTCCACTACATTATAATTTCTTGAAAGTGGACGGCTATTACCTAACCAAGTGTATTTATATCAAAGAACTATTGCAATTGTCTATGAGGTAATTTAAGAACTAGAGACTGATATGGCTTTTCATTTTATATCTATCTTAATCATATGATGCTGAATACTTAACAACCATGAAATCTTTCGCCTTAGATATTTTTTCATGACAATATTTTTTAGTTTTTGATAGAATATAATCAAATCATACAGTCTTAGTATGATATTTTATTCAAACCTATGCGATAATTACTGTAATAAATCTGTGTTTTTTTATTGAAGGATCCCAGACAAATACACATACACTATAGTATATTTCGTACCTAGGGCCGAAAATGAGGTTTTGCCGGCTCGAGATAGTTTTTAAGTTCGAGACGAAGTCGAGAACTTAAATCAATCGAGAGCTGCAAAACCATTTTGGTCCGTGGTAAGAACGCTATTTTTCACCACACTATAGCCTATTACCACTATTCACCACTATAATAATGCACACTGATTGTCAACACTACTACAATTTTAAGGTTATGCGAAGAAATAATTTGAGGAATCAGCAAAATAAAAATAAATAGTTGCTAGGCAACGGTGACAATAACACAATTCTATTGCAATATATGGATTTTGATTGTGTATTTAAAATGCATTCATGTTTTAAGTAAGTAAGCGGACAGCTGACTTTGCGGTCCCGGGCTGTAAAAACCTGCTCGGTCCCCAAATTACGATGACAGCTGGCTTGGCCAGCAAAACGTAACTTTCAGCCACCAATTAACGTATGTAATACAGCTAAAAACATCATAGTGTGGTGAAAAATATATTGCTTTAAGTACTAAGATTTTTATTAATTTAAGTGACGTAATACGAACAAATTACATTATATTAATCCTTTCTCAATTATGTTTGTAGCTTCCTAAGTAAACAAATGTTATAGGCATTTTAGATGTGTACATATTAATGTAAAACATATTTAATGAGCCATATTGTCAATTTGTTGTCAGTAACTGTGATATAATTTGTTTAATGATTTATGTATTGTGTATATTATTGTATATTGATTAAGTTCCCAAGTGTAATAAAGTAGAATGCTACTTAAATATGCATAAAATAAAAGAATTTGTAAAATAAATTTGTTTAAATTTTTAACTTATTGTGTTATTTTTCCCTGTTTTACTTTCCATCTGACAAGGCTGTTCTTTTCTTCCTAAGTCTGATGTGAAGAGCGGCAATCTGTTCATGTATGTTCAACCTATGTGTACAGTTTCAAATTTATTAGTCATGGGCTACTATATGACACTTTTGTTATGCTATATCCAGTATTATATTCTCTTTTATAAAACTATGTATTGTGGTACTAATACCATTAAGTGTTCGATTATTGAGAGTCTACCATTAAGCAGTATAGACTCCAAGTTAGTATTCTGTTTACATTGTAAATGATCTTTTATTTGTTTTAAAATCAACACAAAAATTTAAAAACCCTAAAAAAAATACTAATCAATTGTTTATATTATTTTTAAACTCGAATGATGGATACTGTTAAGCTCAGTATGGAAGTCATTGTATACTTGAATATCAGATGCTAATATATTACTTTGGAGCATCGTTAAGTTGGGCTGTCTCGAGAAGGCAAGGAATATAAAGAGGGTTTTGAATACATAATATTTCCCTTGGTTTAACTCAAAAGAGAACTGAAATACTATATTATAATAGCAATACAGTAAAATTAAATTTATCGGTACTCGATATATCTGTAAAAAAACGATGAACAGAGCTATAGCATTGTTATAATACTAAGTAAATAGTATCAGCAATCTGACACATACTTACTCCCATTAGCTTGTCATCTACTTTTATCATTTTATAGAGAAAAAAAGTTGCAATAACTTTTGAACCGTAATGTTTTCAGCGATGGGGTTGCACTATTTTGTTTAGAATTATAAGGGCCATAACATACTAATTTTAATCAAAACCGGTTTTTTAAAATCCAATTTTCTGTTTTCTTATGGGAAAATAACATACCAGTTATTATAACTTTTAAACCGTAATTTTTAAAGCAATACAAGTTGTACCATTTTGTTCAGAATTTAAAGGGCTATAAAATATTAAATTTTTATCAAAATCGTTCAGGCCATTTTTTAGGAAATTAGATTCTTCCATTATTTTATGGGTTTTATGGAAACAATTCCATTTGAAATAAAAATTTCAGAAAAATGAAAAAAAAATCCCTGGAGATGGCATGGAACAACTTTTTCGGTCCAGGGGGGCCCAAAAGGGATATATCCACTCTAAACTCAAACTTGAAAATGTTGACGAAAACAATAGGTTCTCCATTTACTATGGTATAGGGGGAGAAAGTAAACTTGGTTACAGATATTTCAATCACTCCATTACTTGATCATTATCATTAATACTAATGTATATTAATTTAATATTTGTAGTAGGCCTATAATTAAACAATAATATTACTGTACAAATTAATTTCAAACAAGCTTAGAAAATGGTTTTCTAAACGAGTTAGGTAATAATTTTATGAAAAATTAAACAAATTGTGTAGGTACATAATAAAAAATGATTTTGCTTCAATGTGGATATGTCTTGTGAATTCAGTTAAATAAAAAACCATGCCACATTTGACCAATTATCAAAGTGAAAAATAAGTTTATAAATTACTATAGGCTAGGCCTATAGTTTATATTATCATTATACTAGTAAAATAATTGATAATTGGTAGTCATCTTACTGTTAAAATAAACATGTAAGATAAAAATACATAACATAAAACATATAAAAAATAGTAAGACTCCTTCTGGCAACCTAAGTTTAACCAATTCAGTTAGTTTTCTAACAATGCTGTGAGTGGTCCATAAAACTGAGCCAGTCCCACACAATCACATTATCTGTAGTAGTCACGTAAAGAGATGTTCTTGCTCCTCCTGCTACATGGCCTGTACGAGTGTACATTGTACATGTTATACTGTAGTCACTCACTAATCAGGGTTCATGTTGACCCACAGGTTTAGAAACTAAAGGTCTAGTCTATGTCATCATTTGTAATGTCGTCATTTAGTTACTAGGTCTATCATTGTCAAGAATAAAGCATTTGCCCAGTTACTGTTGTCAAGTGTAAATAAGAATATTTGATATAAAAGTCAAGAACGGTTTTCATTTTCTATATATAAGTCATCAAAATCAACTTCTTGTATTAATGTACTTGTCATTAATAATATACCCCTAGATCTAGATAATAATTAAGTTACATAAATATATTAGTCTTAAACAATTAATTTCCACATTTTATTTTAGTAGGAGCCATCGATATATAGGCCTAACGACAGCTTTAGTGATACGTGAGACCGCTTCCAGCATGCACTGCAACTAAAGCACACGTTTCACTAAAGCTGTTAATATTCGTCCATATCTTCCATATCTCAGTTAATATTCGTCCAATCTTAAAAAATAAGGTGTCAATCGATTTGTAATGAAATTGCCTTATAAATGTTATTCTTGTAAAATTTTTTTAAAATCAACGGTTTTTGAGTTATTTTAATAAACAAAATTTTAAATGGCCGCCATTTTGTTTTATGAGTTTGGAAAATTGTTAATTTTTGTCTAGCTTTGTCTAGTTGTCATAAATGTTTGTGCAAAGTTTCAATTTCGTATGTTAAACCATTCTTTAGAAAAAGATTAATAAGTGAAAAAACAAAATGGCGGCTAAGTAAGTAAATAAGGACTTCCGAACAATTTAAATATGGTACTTACATATGTTTCTAACTCAGGAACAATGCTCTAAAATATTGGTAGAGAGTTCAGGGACACCCTGTATAATACGTGATATTATACAATTTGTTTATATAAAAAAATAATATTCATTTGAAACATGACATCACAATTAATTACTTAAACCTCAGTTTAAAAATAAATAATTTAAAAAATTATTAGTTT